CATAAAAGTTGTATCCTTTGTTTAAGACAAAGAAAGAAAATTGAGTTTTTGTTCAATCAAAACAATATTGGAGATAATTGTAAAATGATTCTGTGAAATAGAGGGCCGATCTACTGAGTGAACTCACAATTGGAAGTTTCTAATGAAATATTTCCACCTGAAAGTTTGGATTTGATCCATGCTTCTATGTCTTTGCATCACCAATTCATAGTATCAAATGAAAATCTAATTGTTTGTCCTAGTAATTTGAAATTATTGACCAACGTATAATCCCCTATAAAATTTGGTGAGGACTTTTTTTTGGTTTAAATGCATAATGAGCATGATTTGAATAGAGCTTCAATCTACAGAGTACTGAGTGAACTCATAGTTGAAAATTTCTAATGGAATATTTCAATCCAAAAGTTTGGATAAATTCATACTTTTACATCTTTTCATCATCAGTTTACAATATCAAAAGAATCTATAATCCGTAGTCCTAGGAATTTGAAATTATAGACCCGCAAAGTGGAATTTGCCACAAAGCTTAACATGTAATCATGAAGAAAATTTGTTTTGAGCATTTTCTGTAATGCAAAATAAGAATGATGTGAGTAGTTGTTTTGTTTTCACAAAAATCCACTTGACATTTGATAAAATAGCTCCAACAGTTTAAGTTTTTGTATATTTTTGTGACACATTACCGTAGGGTGAAAATACATTGGCCTTATAGTGATACAAAGCTCACAACTTTGATGAACTACTCATTGAACATGTACCCAAGGCTATATAGGGTCTTGCAGATGCTAGGAATGTGTGAAGGTAACTTGCTATGCATGCATATACTTTTACACATAGTTGTGCGATTCCCTGGACGACCCCACTACCCCCACAAAAGAAAATTGTCGTACAGTTCCTACAAACTAGTTCCCGGTATATTTGCAAACTGATTCCCTCCGATACACGAATTGGTTCCCCAAAATTGGCTTACTGCTTAGAAGTATGTGGGGCGCAAAGTCCCTTTTAAGTGTACACGCGCAAGACGCAATGCTATATTCAATGGAGTAAAAGGAGGCGCATAATAGTATATATGAGGCACATAATAAGAAAATAGTATTCTATTGTCGAAAAGAAAAAGAGAGTTCTTTTTTATTCCCATAATCATGATGAAAGAAAAGATTTTACAGTTTTATTTTTGAGGGGAAACAATAATTTTGTATAGTTTTGCTATATGCTGAATTTAGAAAACCTTATCATAGTATAACTATACAAAATTATTGTTTTCCCTCAAAAATAAAACTGCAAAATCTTTTCTTTCATCATGATTATAGGAATAAAAAAGAACTCTCTTTTCCTTTTCAACAGTAGAGTATTATTTTCTTATTAAAGTTTTAAGAATAGTGTTTGAAAAAGGCTTTTGTTGCCGCTTAGAGATGCTGCCTTCGAGGCTTTCCGAATGGAAATCACCTCGAAGAGCGAAAGAAACGTGATTTATCCCTATAGGCATGCAACTCATTACTTAAAGCACTGAACAATTGACTTCATGGAATCACGATAAAGCACTTCTATTTTGATGCACACACTTCAAGGCAAGAGCGGGAGGTTTAAAAACGTTGCTCTTTATTTCTTCCATAGCCTCAAGGATTCATTTTCTTCTTTATAATTTTATTAATGTTTAACCATCAAAGCAAATATCTTATCTAAATTTGCATTGAGTCTACATTTGTCGGTTCATTTTGTACTCTCTGTTGATTCAACTTGTTTTCCTGCAATTTTGAATCTTATATTGTTTCGTGTATCCTATTATGTTTTTATTCATTTTTGTGAGTAGATTCCTATCTTGTTTGTGAGTAATGTTTATTTCCTTGTCCGTATCTTATGTGGAGTAAGTGTCATATTGGTCGCGTTGAGGTGTTAAATCCGGCAACTACGCCCTAACATAAGGTGTGGGATGCATATATGCATAACTTATACGTGAGCCTCAGTGCGCCTTGTGCCTCGTGCCTTGCTTGCCTCACTGTTCTTCACTATTCTTCTGTTGTTTGTGTTGGGAGAATTTTTTTGAAATAGGCCGGTTTTAGAAAATATTTAGCAAAACCGACAATTTTGCTAAATATTTAGCAAAACCGATATCTTTTTGGCCAGCCTTGGTTGGTTGGCCAAACAGAGATCGGTTTTGCTGAATTTGAATTTTAAAATATACGGGACTAGTGGTTCCGTGTGTTTAGTAGCTACTAATCGACCACTAAACTAAACTCAGAAAAACCTACGAGACTAGTAGTCCCGTGGGTTTTCTCTTCACAAATACAAAACTGGCAACTAAACTTTCACTTTGGACAAATGGAACTGCACCGTCGGGTCGACCCTCCTCCCTCTCCTCCGGCGATCCCTCTCCCTCTTCTCCGACGACTCCCCCATTGTTGTCTCCGACGGCGTCATAATATCGTCCTCTGACCTCTTGTCCTCCCACACCTCCGCTCTCCTCTCCCACTTCCAGGCCTAATACCATGCCCTCGACCTCGTCTCGCCGCCCGCCACGACGCCTCCCAGCTCCTCACCCTGCACCCGCGGCGCTCCCAGCTTGAGATTCCCTTCCTCTGGCTCGACGACTTCTACCCCTCCCTCTTTACCATCCTCCTCCGGACCCTAACCATCTTCTCCTCCCAATCCCTTGTTATCCCCAAGATCAAGCAACTAGAGTGGGGAATTCGCCTCTTGGTCCCCTCCATCGCCGACAGGTTTCGCAACGCCTAGGCTCTTGGCATGTATCCCTGATTAAAAAGGCCGGTTTTGTATTTGTGAAGAGATAACCCACGGGACTAGTACTCCGTGGGTTTTCTGAGTTTAGTTTAGTGGCCGATTAGCGGCCACTAAACACACGAGACTTCTACCGACCTTTTTTGACTAGCCTTGATGAGCTGGCCAAAAAAGGTCGGTTTTGCTAAATATTTTTCGAAACCAGTCTATTTCAAAAAATTCTCCGTTTGTGTTGCATTCTTTTATTTCTCTTTCACTTGCTCTTTTGTTAGTGTCTCCTCCTTTCTTTTTTTCCCCTCTTTTATTCTTTTTTGCTATTCTGGTTACTATTGCAGAATAAAGTCACTTACTCAATTATATAAGGTTCTAATATGTTTGTTTTTAGTTTACGCTTCTCTTTTTGATATTTCTCTACTTCACTATTAGCTATATGCCATCCTTTTAATTTTCTTCCTCTTCTTTGCTATGATTCTTCCCTCTGTTGCTTCTTCCATATAAGGCTGCCTAATCTTTCTTCTTCTTTTCTTGTCGGCCTCCTATTCTTTTCTCTGTTGTCTTTTCTCTACTATGCCTTGCTATTTCTTTTTCGTTTTTCTTATCTCAACGTTGTTTTAGAGGTTGCTTTTACAAAATCAAAGTTTCTTAATCAGTATTACAGAATGAAAATTCTCGGCATGGAAAAAAGAGTTGCCTTAAATTTAGTATCAATGATCATCTTATAGGGAAATTAGTTTGTCGATCATAGTTTGTAATCATAATTGTGCTCAAAATCTTGAGGAGAAATGTGCAGTTGTGGTTGTGCAATAGAGGCACTTGCTCGCTTTCGCCTTGCACCTTGCTCATCAGGCACGTGAAGGCCTTTGGGCATTGCTTTGCTCCTTGCATGTAGACTGTTGAGTCAGTGCAGCAGTTGAGCTCACTTATTTATTAAAGAAAATCTTTAATATAGATACGAAAGATGTTATTTAAAGTAGCTTTAGTTTATTATAACATGTCTATAGCTAGTCTTTTGCTTTCTTACTGCCCAAAACCTGAGTGTATCTGTTTTCAAATTATTGTACCGCTATATATTATGCACTTGCAATATTATAATTTTAAATTTAAACTATAATTAAGTTATGAGACCTATGTCTCAAGCCTTGAAGGGTACGCTTTATTTTATTGAAGGGTTCAACGCATCACCTTGTGCTCCTGGGGTTTTCATTATTTGTCAAGAAGCTTATGTCTCCCTGACAAATAAAATAAAAACCAAAGAAAAGCTTATGCTTGAGTATCAGTTACTCTGGCTTTACCAACATATGTTAATGTAGTAAATGTCTGATTCCTTCAATGTTTACTTTTTTCTGCAGGACTTTCACTTATGGAATATCCGGGATTGAAGTCTATTGATCCTGCTTATGCATTACCCGTGGATGTGGTGAATAGGATTTTCTTTGGGAAGTAAATGGATCCACATACATATTAATTAATTCACAGCCGATTGTCTGTTGAGCATGAAAGTTGACTGTGTTCAAATCTTTACTGTTCAGGCTGATTGGTGATCAAAGTTCTTCTAAAGTGCTGTGAACGGTAACTGCGTTGGCTGGTCACTGCTATTATGCTATGCAGTATCTGATTGTGCCAGGGCCCAACCAGGCCGAGTTCCGGGCCGGCCTGGTTTATTTTTTTTTTAATTCTATTTAAAATTTAAATTATACAAAAAAGACAAAAAAATTAATAAAAACCAATAATTTTATTAATCACTTAAAATGACATAAATTATAAATAAAAAAATTATAAAAATAAATTTTTTATTAATAATTAATAAATTATTTACAAATTATAAGTATAAATTTATTTTGGAATTCATCGCATCACAATAGATAAGTACATCCTAACTAGGTTGATACCTACTCATCTATATCACTATCATTTATAACTATTTTTAAAATAATTCTTTACAAATTTTAAGCTAAGATATAAAAATTACAATTTAATGAATATTATTTATTCTTTATATCTATCTGCTAGTCTCAATTCTTTAAATTTATCTTTAATTCCAGCCATCCGATCGATGGCTTGCGTTCGGTTCTCGTACCTCCATCAATCTTGTAAGCACATTACCGCTTGTACAATATACAGATCTAAGCATGTTCTTTGATCGTCGATCAAACGTTTTGCTGTGCTGAAGGCGGATTCCGAAGCTACCGTCAAAACCTGCACTGTTAGTAAGTCACGCACCATGGTGGAAAGTATAGGATATGAAACTGATCCATATACTTTCCACCATTGTAAAATATCTAAAGCATTTCCTTCACATTTAACTAAAGAAGCAGATAAATATTCATCTATTTCAGAAACCTCCAATGATGACGATCCAAGTCCAGATCCACCAGTTAGCTCAGCTACCATTGCATACCTATCAAAACATACACTTTTACCTCGGGATGAGCTCGAAGAAATCGAAGCTGTAGACTGTTGTGTAGCTACACCATGTCTAGCTGCATACTCATCATATAAGGTTTGAAAATAATTTCTAATAGCTAAATGATGAGTAGTAGCTGTAAGGGTAGTTCCATCATCTAAGTCTATAATCTGATTACCATAAAAGGATTGTAACAAATTTTAAAGGCCAATATCCTTCAAGCATGGATCAATAAGAACCCCCAAACCAAAAATATGAGGAATATGCCTAAAGTACTTATTAAATTTGCTCTCCATTTGAAAAATCATAGATTCAAAAGTATCATCGCTACGATATTTCCTAAATTTTTTTTGAATATTTACAATTTGTAAAGCAGCTAAAGTAATGGTTGGATAATAACAGCTAGATAATAACATTGTAGCATCATAAAAAAATTGTAACATTTTATTTAAATTACATATAATTATCCATTCATCTTCAGTTATTCCATAAGTGCTACAGAACTAGAACTAGAAGCATAATAATTTATAAAATCAGTTATAATGTCTTTATATTCTATTGCTACATTTAACATTGCATATGTGGAATTCCATCTATGGTCAACATCTTTTGGAATTAGTCTGGGCTTTACATTTTTTCTTTTACAAAATTGTTTCCATTTTTTAAGTCTTTGTTCAGAAGCATTATGCATATAAGCAACTGTTCTAACCTTTTCTATAATGGGTTTAATTTCAGTAAATACACTTTGAACAATTAAATTTAAAATATGACAGATACACCTAATATTAAAGATCACCATGACATGGCAATGACAGAGTTGATCTGATAAAATCAATAACTACATTGTTATTACTTGCATTATCTAGTGAAAGAGAAAATATTCTTTCTGAAATTTTTAATTTCATAAGTTCTTCAATTATTAAATTTGCAACATTAATACCAGTATGTGACTCTTCTATTGCAATAAACGAAACAACTCTTTTAAACATTTGCTAATTTTCATCAATCTAGTGTGCTGTGATACATAAATATCCAGTTTGTGCTCTAGATTTCCAAATATCAGAAGTTAAAGAAAATTTACAGTTTAAATTTTTAAAATAAGAAATTATTTTTCCTTATTCCTCCTGATAATATTTTAAAATATCACGTTGACAGGTTTGACGAGAAAATTTTTTAAATGCAGGATAAAAACCATCTCTAAACATATCTTCAAATTCATCATCTTCTACTAATTTAAAAGGAATATTTTTAAGAATGATAAACCTGATTACGCATTTCCTGGCTCTGGCAGCGTCATAGTTCCAACTACCGAGACTACTAGAAGAGGAGGATTAAGAAATCATAGATTGTCGGATATCACCTTGAGGAGTCTAGCCTTTGTTATGTTTATCTAACTGGCGTTTGAGGTAGTTGGTGCCGCTCTTATGATGAGCTTGAAAAATCTTGCCGCACAACACACACTTAGCCTTCTGAGTGAGGATCCTACCGTGTTCATCCTTGGTGACGTCGATTGTAAGGACCGTGAAATTTTGATATTAGTTAAAATAAATTTCTAGTATTTTTAAATATTTAATTATTATTTTTGAAAGAGTATTTATATTTTCCTCGAATTTCTAGATTTTTCTATGATTTGAAGTCTAAGTTTTATATTTATTTAAATGATTTAAATATTTATAAATTTATTTAGTGCAGTAAATATTTCTGGAATTTATCCGTTGTGTTACCGATACTATTAGGTATCATTTTGAATAATACGTGGTATTATTATTATTATTACGAATATTTTCGTATAATACGTTGTATTATTAATTACGTATTATTTGTATAATTTGTTGTATTATTTCTACTGTTGCATATTACCGGTCGTATTAGTACGACTAGTACGTTTTACTGTATAGATAATTATCCCATAATTATTTGATTTTAAATGTAAGTAAATATATTTTTATTATTAATTATTCTCGTTTAATTGTACAATATGTGTATATTTCGACTATTTCGTATCAACTGTTGTATTAGCACAACATGTATGTTTTTATTTGTAGATAATTATTATATAATTAGTTTAATTTTTAAATTTCCATAATTATTTATTCTAATTATTTTTGTTTTAAACCTTAACCCTAAACCCTAATATACTATATATATATATATATATATACATACTACTTATGTGAGTCCTAGTATCTAACGCCTGCCCGGCGGCCCAGTGTAGTAGTAATATAATATAATACTATATATAAATCTCTTCTCCTCCTCCTCCCAAAATCCGCGCAGCCTTCTTCTTCCTCTTCCTCCTCTCTTTCTCTCTTCTCATCATCTCAGCCCATCACCCGCGTCCGCCATCACCAGCCCAAAGCTTGACCTCCGGCCACCTTCAACCCCTTAGGGCCCCCTGCGCCTCCGACCGCCTTGGCCCCCCTCTTTCAGATCGCTATCACCCAGCTCGAGCTCCTCCCTCTGAAACCCACAGTCGCCCCTTGCCGCGCCCATGAGTCCCACCACGTCGACGAGCTCGCCTCCCCTCCACCTTCTCAACACCTAGCTTCGCCTCCCTTCCGCCGTGACGCAACGCTCCGACCAAGCCCCGGTGCACAGATCCTCCGACCAGTTCGCTGCCCAAACCATCCGCCCCGTCTCCTCCATCGCACGCCACCTGTTCGACGATATGTCAACGCACATCCAGTGGAAGAACCGCCCCGCTGTAGGCTCGCATCGTCGACGTCGACTCGTTCGACTTACCCGAGGCAAGATCCCTTTTACTGTTGCCTCGTATTTCCAATTTTTAGATATATTATGAATTAATGCTTCGATTAGACTGTGATTTGATTATGCTATAGTATGAAGATTTTGATAACTGCGTGGGTTTGTTGATGGTTGATATTAATAATGATATTAGGATAATTAATTTAAAGGAATAATTATTTTGTGTAAAAGTGGTTATTTTGAGATGTTTTTGAATTATTATGATGAGAAAAGAGATTATTTAAAAAAATGAGTTGGTTTTGAATAATTATTAAAATAGATGATTTAAAATAATTTAGTTTAAAAAAACAAGTTATTTTAAATTGTTCAACTATTTTGAGAAAATATTATTTTAGAATAATTATATGAATTAAAAGAATTTATTTCGGTAGCGGAATCATTTCTGGATAATTATATTAATTAAAAAGAATTTATTTGAGAACGAAATCATTTGACAAAAATTATGATAATTTTAAAAGAAATTATTTTAGAAAAGGAAATATTTCTAAATTATGTAGACTATGTTTATGATTTATAATTCTTAATCTTGATTATCTGATATGCTATGATATTATTGCACATGATTAGTTGCATTGATTGTTCCTGGTTGTGTTTGAAAACCCTTAGTAGTTCATGACTTAATGGCCTCGTGCGTCATAAACAGACTTAGTGACATGTGTGAGTGAGTTGACTGAGTTTTAGGTGGTGAACCCGAGTTTCAATGAGGATTATGGTTGATTTAGAAAAACGAGAAGAGTTGGGATGGGGAAGTTAATGTTCATGTGATCGGATAAGGCTGTTGATGTATCTTCCAGGCTCGCGTCAGTGGTTGGTGTTGCCACTGGGGTTGGTTTGTAGGGCTAAAGTGAAGTGTGTACATCATTTTGGTCAGTGGGAATTTATTTCGTCACTCGAGTTCTGTTTGAAGTTCGGACCAGGCGGAAATGAGTTTACGTGTAGTCCTCTGGCCGCATGTGTAGCGGGATTGGATGCACGTAGGGGATTTGTGAACAGTCAGTATTCGATGACAGGAGCGTTGACTCTGTGTGAGATGTGACCAGTGACCTGTTATAGAATGACTAGTTACATGACTTTGTTTTTTGGCTAGGTATGATTTCTTGTGAGATATAGGCTAGTTGTGTTTCTTTTCATACATAGATTGGGGTTAATATTTAATGATCTACAATTTGAGACATATGGTTTATACATGAGGGTTTCCTTGTTTGGATTATTTCGCTCGACGTACTACGTCTCTTGTTGTAGATTTTTAAGTATTAATTCTATCTAGTTGTATGACGTTAATAGTTGGATGATTAGACTGATCGCTAGCTGCATGATCTCGTTACCTGATCGATTTTAGATGCTTTATATTTATCATATTTTAGTAGTGTTTTCGCATGTTGATTTTGTCAGATTTCCAGTTGCACGTTCTTTTGTCATTTCTGTTATCGTATCGTTTTCTGCTTGGGTTTTCGTTCGCTCTATTTGTTTTGTGGGGTCTTGCCGTGTGCCATACACGCTGACGTACACCTGTTTTCTCTGGTGTACGTCAGACTTAGAGGAAGAACAGGTTCAGCTGGGAGATCATCAGGAGCCAGAGGATTCTCAGCAGGAGTGCCTTGCAGACGTAGTAGAAGAAGAAGCCGAAGCTTAGTTATTCCCTTTAGTTGTTCGATGGTCTTAGCTTACTTTTTAGTACTTTTATTTTCTGTCGGATCATTGTATTTTATATTTTTCTAGTATTTCATTCAGATAGTTTTGTATAAGGGTATGTTTGGCCCGGATATTATGTCTGGGATGATATTTCAGTCGTGATATGTATATTATTTTATTCTGAGTTGTTTATTATATTCTCGCCACTGTGCTCGGGGACCTGTGCCTTCGCTTTATATTTGCTCGACGCTTAGCGTATTAGATTGAGCAGAAGAGGTCGAGTACTTATTTCTCCTCAGTCTAATACGTCGCGGGCTTGTTCACGTTCTGATTCCCTGGTATTTTAGGAAGCGGGGCGTGACATCGATCTTCTCGTAAAAATTCTACACATCGGATCTTGGCCTTTTAGGAGCTCTTGGTGCAGATTCGTCGTCACCGGATTCGGGATTAACATCGGTAGGAGTAGACCCAGTAGGAGGACTCATTTTAAGATCGGGAGATAGGTTTTGCTCTTCATAATCAGATCCGGAAGCCATTTGATGAAAGGATTAGAAAGTATAAGAGAGTATAAGAGTATAAGAGAGAAGTAGATGAGTTTTGGTGTGAAGAAAACAAATAAAAACCCCCCTCTATTTATAGAGCCAGCCCCCTAAATAAATGACCAAAATAACCTCACAAAATAGCCATTTTGACCGTTTTTAGGGACAAAACGGTCAAAAGGCCGTTTTTGACCGTTATGGCCGGGCCGGCATTTTTGGCCACAACGGTCACTTTTTGTGACCGTTACTGGCGGGCCGGGCACCGGCCCGGCCTATTTTGGCAATGGTCACCCACCATAGGTGACCGTTGCCACTGGCTCCGGCTGCCCGGCCCGGATTTTTGCCCGGCACCGGCGCTGTTCCGGGCCGGGGCGCCTAGCGGGCGCCGCTGAGGTAGGCCGTACCGGCCCGGAACCCGATCAGGCTTGGATTTTCGGGCCCAGGCCGGCTCCGGGCCTTGTCCGGGCTGGGGGGCTTTTTGGACAGGCCTAGTGGTAGGTCAGGCTTATTTATGAAGATAGGATTAAACATTGTTGAACATAGTCTCGTTTAACATTTTTTACCCAGCCTTTTCTTGAACGAAGAGTGCAACGAGATTATTTGTGCGTTTTTATCTATTTGGGTTGTTTTGATGGCTTACTCTTATTAACATATTTAGATGAGTCGCAAAATGAGGATGGCTTACTGTAGCCATCTCATAACACTTATGAATTGTGACTGTTGACGGGTGTAAGAGGAAGGATATTGATGAGTACTTAAGGATTCAGAGACAGAGGCTATGAAATGTAACATGAGTCGGACTAAGCTATGTATTTTCCTAGTCCAGTCATCATGAGATGAAATTGAGAAGAGCTCATCTGCAGAAGATTAGAAAATTTGAGTCGAGAACCATTATCAACGAGTTGATAAAGAATTCCCTTGGGGGAGAATTCGGTAATTTTCTCAATATTTGTGGTGTTTGAGAGGAAACAACTTATTTACAAGCAATGATCACGACTGAGCAAGTCAAAATCGCAGTTAGCATCTAGTGTTTGGTTTTGTTGAAAATAGAACGGCGGCGCGTGTCCATAGCTGTGGTCGAAGAAAAGAAACGGAGAGAAAAAGGAAGGTGGAGAAAGATTAATAAATAAACATGTTTGCATATATATCATGATGATTGCAAATCACGAAAGAGCAAAACTGATCATTATTCCAAATAGCTTATTGGACCTATCACAATTACACCGCCTCATTTTATCATTTTTTAGCGTATATCATCCCTTCTTTATATATAGGGAAAAATGTGTCAGGGCCCCAAAAGCTAAAAAACCATGTGACGAGGCCCCTTGTATTTTCCCCCTTGTGTATAAGCCCCAAAAAGCAGCCTCTAATATTTCTAGGGCCCTCCACGTCAGCTGTATACAGCCAGAGGCATTATATTTTAAAAAAACCCAACTTTGCCCTTCTCCTTCTTCCCCAGACGCTTCGTCACCTCTCTTCGTCACATCCCATTAAATGCAAACTACTATAAGAAATGGAGGGAAATTTCCCCCCTTTTTCAGTCTATCATGAGCAATAAATATCTAGTTATCCATTACTCTTCCATTACTCTTCCTCAGACCCAAATTCTCTCCATTACTTTTCCTCAGACCAAAATTCTCTCCATTACTCTTCCCTCCACTTCATAATGGCTGAAAAGGACATCACCTGCATCGTAGCTTCGGGTGATAGAGCAGTATTCATGAAGATTAACACTTCAACCACCATTCTTGATCTAAAATTTGATGTGTCAGATAGGTTAGATCTTCCATATGAATCATTAAGTTTGTCATTCAAAGATGAAACGAATGGAAGCTTCAAATTTCCTATTGAGAACGAGGGGGATCTGTCGTCTATGGTGGAGCATTGCCATAACAGAGGATTAAAGGAGGTTCACATGCAAGCTTTCAAGGAAAAAGAGGATTCTTCAAAAGTCCACAGCGCCGTTCAAGTTCGAGATGACATGTAGGGGCAAGGATTTTTTTGATGCTAAGAACAATATTCATGTAATATCAGTTAATGTTAGTTCATTGGATTATAGCTCGGATTCTAATAGATTTGTTAGTTCTAGCCCAGAACTTGTAGTTATAAACCCAACCCTCGTTTTTTAATTCAAACTTAATAATTCTCGCTTCTACGTTAGTTCTAGCTTCTATTACCCTAGTTCTAGCTTGTATACAGCCAGTTCTAGCCCACAACTTGCTAGTTCTATACCCAGCCCGTGTTTTTAATGCAAACTTGTAAATTCTAGCTTCTACGTTAGTTCTAGCTTCTATCTCACTAGTTCTAGCTTGTATACAACCAGTTCTAGCCCACAACTTGCTAGTTCTAGCCCACAACTTGCTAGTTCTAATCCCAGCCAACGTTTTTAAATGAAAACTTGTTAAATCTAGCTATTACGTTAGTTCTAGCTTCTATCCCACTAGTTCTAGCTTGTATACAGCCAGTTCTAGCCCACAACTTGCTAGTTCTAAACCCAGCCGATTTTTTTTCATGCTAAGTTGTTAATTCTAGGTACTACGTTAATTCATGTAATATCAGTTAATGTCGGTTCTAATAGATTTATTGTTAAGTATAATCTATTAGTTGTTAGTTCCAATAGACTTATTGTTAGTGCTAATCGATTTGCTATGAGATCTAGTTCAAACTGTGTTAGGTCCAACATGTTAGTTCCAAGTGACTTCATGTTCGGTCTAAACGTTTTCATGTTAGTTCTAAATGAAATCTTGTTAGTTCAATTGGATTCCACGATAGTTATAACACAAGCAGTTGATGTTTTTTTGTAGAATCCTTATTTGTGTTATTTGTTGATGTTTCTATTGTATAGTTTATGATCATTTGTTCATGTTTTTTAAATTTGCAGCGCTACCAGCAGCATGAACTCAAAAAGCATAGAGGGTGGCCCGCCGTTGTCGACGCCCACATGTGTTTCAGATAGGATCCCCAATGATAATCCTTCTGGAGATAATGTTCCGATGATTGATGACATGATTAGCAGATCAGAGAGGATTCTTGCTTGGTGGCACACTGCTTTAACCGGTGAGGGACAACGGTTTGAGAGTGCGAAGGAATTAAGATTGGCTTTACTATACTATTCCATGGCCAAAAAATTTGAGTACTTGTTTGCTAAGAATGAACCGAAGCGTATTCGAGTCTTTTGTAGGTTCAAGGAAGCCCAAAATTGCCCGTAGATGTTATTTGCCTCTCCATCACAAAATAAGAACAGACTTGAAATCAAAACCTTCGTGGACAACCACACATGTGGGAATTTTGGCAATAATGCAGGTCAATTTAGGGCGTCACGACAATTCATTGCGACCCAAGTATTACCCACGTTAAAGGTCCGACCAGATTTACGACCTATCGACGTACAAAAGGAGTTACTAACTTCGTATGGGCTTAGGGTCGATTATAGCAAGATATGGTGGGGTAAAGAAAGAGCACAAGAGCAACTATATGGTGATGCCCATGAGTCCTACGATCAATTACGATGGTAAAAGAAGATAATATCTATAATATAGACACTAATTTCATTTATGTTGATCCTAACATATAATCTCCAATGGTCTAGGTATGTAGAAGAGGTTAAGAAGACAAACCCAGGTAGCTACATTCATGTTGAACAAAATGAGGGGAGGTTTTCAAAGCTATTCATCTGTTATGCTGCCTGCATAAATGGGTTTTTGAACGGTTGTAGACCACTTATATTTTTGGATGGTACATTTCTGAAAGATCGTTTCAAAGGTATACTCCTCAGCGCCGTTGCATACGATGGAAATCAGGGGATATTTCCATTAGCCTATTGCATCTGCGATCAGGAAAATACTGTAAACTGGAATTGGTTCTTACAAGGTTAGTTCGGGTAATGTTAGTTCTACTAGAATTCATGCTAGTTCTAACTCATTCGTTGTTAACTCTAACTTCAAATATGTTGACTACAAATATTTCGTTGTTAACTCTAACTTCAAATATGTTAACTACAAATATTTATAGGTTTATGGTCTATTCTCTATGAAAGGCCAGATCCATACAACCCTCCACACAAGCTAGTTATAATATCTGATGCGGATAAGGGGATCAGAGAAGCAGTCAGAGAATATTTTCCGGATGCTATACACTCTAGATGTGTTCTGCATCTAGTTGAGAATTTCAGGACAAAGTTGCGGGATTTGGGTTTCAAGGCAAAGGATACTCGGATTTTGGGCAACCTTTTGCAATCTGCTTGTTACAAATATACTAAAGCAGAATGGAATGACTATGTGGAGGACATTACACTGGCGAACGAACGAGCCTACAATATTGTCATGAACTACGCTCCAGAGAACTGGGCTAACGCATTTTTCCCCGGAATTAGGTAATTTATAAGCTATGTCATTTCTTATTTCAGTTAGTTGTTTGCCTAACTAAATTAGACATGAATGCATACACTGGAACTAACTATAACCTAGTCGGAACTAACATAGGCGATATACCCAACACTTGTAATAGAACATGGGTAATAACCCAGTTAGCTGGAGTTAGATCTAACTGTGTACCATCTAGAACTATCACGGTTGAAGCTTTCACTAAGAACTACTCACCTAGAACTGACATGAACTCTAACTCAGTATTTTTGATGAATTCCCTGTTATGTTCCAGATATGGTCACGTTACATCAAATGTTGCAGAGTCATTCAACAAATGGATACATGAGGCTAGGCTTCTACGGATACTACAACTCGTAGAACACATACGTAAACAGATTATGGTTCGCATGAATGAGCGACGATTAATGGCTGAAAGTTGGAATGGATTTCTTTGTCCCAAAGCTGAACTTGTTCTCAACGAGAACATGGAAAATGGGCGTCCATTGAATGTGCGTCAGTCTCATACAAGATTATTTGAGGTACAATCCCATAAAACTTGTAAAGTGGATTTTGACAATAAAACATGCACGTGTCGCGCGTGGGATGTAACCCGTATCCCTTGCAAACATGCATGTGCAACCATTATGTTTATGAAGAGGGATGTTTACCAATTCTGTGACTGGTTTATGACGGTTGAAGCTTTTAAAAAGAGCTACGAGCCAATCCTCTACCCCATCCCCGATTACGAGAAGCGTAGCGTACCACGGGAGGAGATACAGATCCTACCACCATAAAAAAACAAAAGGAAAGGGAGAAATAAGACCAGGCGTATCAACAACAGAACAGTTTACACTCTCGATGTCATGTGGAAGGTCACAACCGTAAAACATGTAATGAATCTATTGCTGACTAAGTACTTGATATGTTGTTAACTATTTTGCTTGTATATTTACAAACTAGTACGTTTTGTTTAATGTTGAAAGTATTCTCATGTGTGATGAGAACTAGCATCATCTCCACTAGCAAAAATGATGTAAGTATTAGAACTATACGAGAACAAATAGATCTGACAATGGCTAAGATAGAACAGACACGACAGCATCAAGAACTAAAACCACAGCAGCTAGAACAAACATTGACTATCCTAGAAATAACACGACAGCAAAAATAAAAACTGCGCAGGTAAAATACGAAGGCTGGTTTTAGAACTAGCAAGTTGTGGGCTAGAACTGGCTGTATACAAGCTAGAACTAGTGAGATAGAACTAACGTGGAACCCAGAATTAACAACTTAGCATGTAAAAAAAGAGGGCAGGGTTTAGAACTAGCAAGATGTGGGCTAAAACTGGTGGGATACAAGTTAGAACTGGTGGGATAGGAGCTAGAACTAACGTGAAACCAAGAAATAACAATTTAGCAAGAAAAAAACAAGGGCTGTCATTAGAACTAGCAAGATGTGGGCTAGAACTGGTAGGATACAAGTTAAAACTAGTTGGGTAGGAGCTAGAACTAACGAGGAACCAAGAAATAGCAACTTAGCATGAAAAAAATAAGGGCTGTCATTAGAACTAGCAAGATGTGGACTAGAACTGGTGGGATACAAGTTAGAACTGGTGGGATAGGAGCTAGAATTAACGAGGAACCAAGAAATAGCAACTTAGCATGAAAAAACAAGGGCTTTCATTAGAACTAGCAAGATGTGGGCTAGAACTGGTAGGATACAAGTTAGAACTGGTGGGATAGGAGCTAGAACTAACGAGGAACCAAGAAATAGCAACTTAGCATGAAAAAAACAAGGGCTTTCATTAGAACTAGCAAGATGTGGGCTAGAACTGGTGGGATACAAGTTAGAACTGGTGGGATAGGAGCTAGAACTAACAGGGAACCAAGAAATAACAATTTAGCATGAAAAAAACAAGGGTTGTCATTAGAACTAGCAAGATGTGGGCTAGAACTGGTGGGATACAAGCTAGAACTGGTGGGATAGGAGTTAGAACTAACGAGGAACCCAGAAATAACAACTTAGCATGAAAAAAACAAGGGCTGTCATTAGAACTAGCAAGATGTGGGCTAGAACTGGTGGGATACAAGTTAGAACTGGTGGGATAGGAGCTAGAACTAACAAGGAACCAAGAAATAGCAACTTAGCATGAAAAAAACAAGGGCTTTCATTAGAACTAACAAGATGTGGGCTAGAACTGGTGGGATACAAGTTAGAACTGGTGGGATAGGAGCTAGAACTAACGTGGAATCAAGAAATAACAATTTAGCATGAAAAAAAACAAGGGCTGTCATTAGAACTAGCAAGATGTGGGCTAGAACTAGTGGAATACAAGCTAGAACTGGTGGGATAGGAGTTAGAACTAACGAGGAACCCAGAAATAACAATTTAGCATGAAAAAAAATAAGGGCTGTCATTAGAACTAGCAAGATGTGGGCTAGAACTGGTGGGATACAAGTTAGAACTGGTGGGATAGGAGCTAGAACTAACGAGGAACCAAGAAATAGCAACTTAGCATGAAAAAAACAAGGGATGTCATTAGAACTAGCAAGATGTGGTCTAGAACTGGTGGAATACAAGTTAGAACTATTGGGATAGGAGCTAGAACTAACGAGGAACCAAGAAATAGCAACTTAGCATGAAAAAAACAAGGGCTGTCATTAGAACTAGCAAGATGTGGGCTAGAACTGGTGGGATACAAGTTAGAACTAGTGGGATAGGAGCTAGAACTAACGTGGAACCTATAATTAACAATTTAGTATGAAAAAACAAGGGCTGTCATTAGAACTAGTAAGATGTGGGCTAGAACTGGTGGGATACAAGTTAGGACTGGTGGGATAGGAGCTAGAACTAATGAGGAACCAAGAAATAGCAACTTAGCATGAAAAAAACAAAGGATGTCATTAGAACTAGCAAGATGTAGGCTAGAACTGGTGGGATACAAGTTAGAACTGGTGGGATAGGAGCTAGAACTAACGAGGAACCCAGAAATAGCAACTTCGCATGAAAAAAACAAGGGCTGTCATTAGAACTAGTAAGATGTGGGCTAGAACTGGTGGGATACAAGTTAGAACTGGTGGGATAGGAGCTAGAACTAACGTGGAATCTATAATTAATAATTTAGCATGAAAAAACAAGGGCTGTCATTAGAACTAGTAAGATATGGGCTAGAACTGGTGGGATACAAGTTAGAACTGATGGGATAGGAGCTTGAACTAACGAGGAACCAAGAAATAGCAACTTAGCATGAAAAAAACAAAGGATGTCATTAGAACTAGCAAGATGGATATCCAGAATGTATGTGTATAATATGTACTAAACTCCTTCTCAAAGTAATTGGGTCAAAACCCATTATAATTCCTTTTAGCATACTCATGTGTGTAGTACTACACTATTTGTGAATTTACATATAAAGAAGTGTGGCTCGAAACCCACAAACATATCTCAAACAGATGCAAAACAAAAATTCAGGTAACAGCCTTAGTAATCGACTACTAGGCTAAGTAGTCGACTATACTGAGCCATCCAAACTTTGTAATAATATATATTAGTATCAATAGTCGACTATTAGGAATATTAGTCGACTACTCTACAAACACACAGTTTCTGTTATACTCAACTGGGCACCAGTAGCCGACTACTAAACTTATTAGTCGACTACTCTGTCAAGACACATATTCTTTCGTGCACAAACAGTGCTTACATCAATTGTATATATCATGATATTAAAGCGAGATTTTACACTTGGTATATGCAACAAAAATTATCCGAATCATCAAATTAAATTATTATATCTTCCAAACTAGGGTTTAACATCCTAATTAAACAATTTCTTCAATTATCTCATATGTAAACAAAGTGATTATCAACACATGATAAAAACTACTCATGAACAGAGGTAAATTTTATTTAAATATATTTATCATATTTAGGTATATCACAAACCTAAGGTTTAAGCATGATTAATTAACATGACAACTCAAAGAAACCTTCACATAATATATCAATTATTTCAAATCAGTATATCTGTAGTTTTTTGCAGAACATATCATTAGTAAATTAAGCATATCTCTCTAGACAAATTTTTTTTAAGAATAGTTTTCTGTTTTGAAAACTAGATTCACAAAGCTTTTATTTGATACTGGTTTTTCTCAGTTTGGAGTTTATATGATATCTCAAATTTTCAGTTAAAAATTACACATGTCAGTTTTCTACAATCTATGATGAAAACAAAAACTAAACCTCTTTATAATTCAATTAGACAACAAAATTAGGGTTAACACATGAGTTAAACATAATTATCAAGTTTAAAAAATTAAATATTTAATCACCCCTAATGATCATGATCACGTTACTATCATAAACAATTAGGAAAAGCTAATGATCTAGCATTGGGTTAAGATTTATCATCAAAAATCTTATCTTTTTCATATTAGGTTAAGACTTAAGCATGAAAACATTGATTAAATACTTTTATAATCATTAAATACTATAGGGATGGGTTTGGATGCAGATGATCTTGCCTTATCACATGTGCAAGCCTCTGAAACTAATGTGAAACGACTCCTCATCGCCAAACGTCGTAGATCTCACCTTTTCCTCGCTTCTCGCCCTCACAATACGCTCCCAAAATCTCAGGGCTAGGGTTTGAGAAAGAGGAAGAGGGTATGCTAGAGTTTGAAACTCTGATAAAAAAATAATAACTTTCATGAAAATACATGTGTGTGTGTGTGTATGTGTGTGTGTGTGTGTGTATATATATATATATATATATATATATATGCAAACCCGAAATAAACCCGTTTGACCTCAACCAGAAAACCTTGTCTGACTAGGAAAATAACTTTCGGTATTTTAGTTGTAACTTTCTCATAAGAGCTTGGAATGAAGTGATTTAAGATTTGTTGGAAATCTGTTGAAGAGACCTACAACTTTGGTCTTTTGCTTTTTCCAGATTCAAACTGCATCGGTGTGTAAAATATATAAACTCTTAATTGGTCATTTTTTCAGATTTCTCTTCGTACATGTTTTGTGCATTTGCACTCATATATTCACAAATATACATTGAATTAATCTCAAATCAATTCTTATATCATACTCAAACATTAAAATATGTTATATTTTCACCATATAACATATTTATTATTATTTTGCACATAATATTTTAATTTTTATGGTTTTACATTCTTCCCCCTTAAAAAGAATTTCGTCCCCGAAATTCCACAATCGTATCCTAGAGATTAATAATATCAGAAAAGCATGTTAAGGGAATAATCCAGATAAGGAAACTCTCATATACACATCTCGTACCATTAATCTCCAGATATGAAACTTAAAAATATTTATACTTAACAATCTAGAATGTCAATATTCCCACTTAACCCCTAACTAGACGGGACTAGTACGTCAGGCAAAAAATCCAAATAAGGAACCCCCACATATGTATATCATGTGTTCCGAATGATTAAGAGTTAAGTGTCAATACCTCCATTCTATTGTTAAATATGAATATAACCATATAAACAATCTATAAATATCAATCAAAATCAATCAACCCACTTGCTCAAACAGGTGCGGGTAGTTACGGCATAACATATTCGTGCCCCCAAAAATCATCATTGATATCTATACTTAACGATCTAAAATGCAAATACTCCCAGTTAACCCCTAACTAAATGGAATAAGTACGTCGGGTGAAAAATCCAAACTAGGAACCCCCATATATATACCGTGTGTTCCAAATACTTAGGAGCTAAGTTCTAGTATCATCATTCTAGCGTTAAGTATAAACATGACCATACAGATAACCATAAATCATAAACAAATCATACTGAAATTTTAATTTACATGTTCAAACATGTGTGGGTAGTCGCGACACATATCATCCTCATGCTCCTCTGAAGTCTCCTAAGTTCCTCTCCGATTCCACTAAACTTTAACTAAGGGTATCACCTTAGTTCTAAGCTTATTGTCCTCCTTGGCAAGATTGCATACCAGAATCTCAATCACAGTCAAATCATCATGAATCTCGACCTCCGGTGCGTCCAACACTCGCTTCTCCTCCTCATCACGTAAATGCTTCTTAAGCATAGAAACATAGAAAATATCGTGTATGCTTGACATCAAGAACGGACCAATGTACCTCGGGGCAAGCTTGCCCCGTCTACCAAAATATTGTACACCCTTCATTGGTGATACTTTTAACAAAACATAATCTCCAACCTAGAATTCTAATGGTTGTTGCCTCCGGTCTGCATAACTTTTCTGACAACTTTACGCTGTAAGAATGCGCTCTCGAATGACTGCTACCTTCTCTGTAGTTTGTCTAACAAGCTCCGGTCCAAGCAATAGACTGTCTTCTGGTTCTGTCTAACAAATAGGTGATCCGCAAGGCCTCCCATACAATGCTACATACGGTGTTATGCCAATAGTCCCTTGATAGCTATTATTATAGGCAAACTTAATCAGAGATATGGTCCTCCCAACTACCTTGAAAATCAATAACGCACGCTCTCAACATGTCCTCTAATATCTGGTTCACTTTCTCCGTCTGTCCATCCATCTGCGGGTGAAATACACTAGAGTAAGATAACTGGCTACCGAAAGAGTTCTAGAAGCTTCTCCAGAAATGTGCTGACTTCGTCAACTAATTCACTATTACCCAAACTGAATTGTTCCCCTTCTTCGATTTCGGCAATCCTACAATAAAGTGCAAAGAAATATCTACTCATTTCCTCTCCGGAATGGGTAAAGACTGTAGGGTTCCTGCTGGCCTCTGATATTCTGTCTTCACTTGCAGGTAGGTAAAACACTTACCACATACTCCATAATCTCACCACGTATGTCGCTCCATCAAAAGTGTCTCTTCAGGTCCTTGTACATTTTCGTTGTGCTTGGATGCACTATGTACCTAGTACGATGCGCCTCATTGAATAAGTTTCTTCTTCAGTTGTGGATTTTCCGGCATCACTAGTCGGTCTTTTATTCAAAGTCCTCCATCTGCTCCAACGGTCTAATTAGCATTGGGCTCTTTAGAAATCTCCCCCTTTCGGGTTTAAATCCAAGTGTCCTCTAGCTGAGCTCTAACCACTCTATCACTCCAAGATGATTGCACGGACAAAGCTCTAAAAAATGCGCTGTTCCCATCTATCTCTGGTCTAAAGTTGAACTGGTTAAATGTGTAAAGATCTCGATACAACGAATACCTCAAAGCCGAAATCCGATGACGACTCTTCCTACTCAAAGCGTCTGTTACGACGTTCTTCTTCGTTAGATTGTAATGAATCGCGAACTCGTAATCCTTAATAAATTCAACCCATCTCCATTATCTCTGATTTAGCTCTTTCTGAGAGAAGAGATATTTTAAATTTTGATGATCCGTGAATAGCTCGAACTGCACTGTATATAGGTAATGTCTCTATGTCTTCAGTGCAAAAACTACTGGAGCTATTTCCAAGTCACGTGTGGGATAATTTTTATCATGCGTCCTCAACTGACACGAAATATATGCTACCACTCTCTGGGTCTACATCAAAATACCTCCTAAACCCACTAACGATGTATCCATGTAGACAACAAAGGTCTTCTCACTGCTCGGGATGGTCAAAACTGGTGCTGTAGTTAACTTAGCCTTTAAAGTTTTAAAGGCCTCATGGCACTCCGTGCCCCAAACAAAAGGTATACCCTTTTTTGTAAGGCGTGTAAGTGGCATGGCTATCTTTGAGAAGTCCTTAATGAACTTCCTGTAATAGTCGGCCAAACCCAAAAAGCTACGAATCTCTATGACTGTTGGCGACGGCTCCTAATCAAGTATGGTCGTAACCTTAGCTGGATCCACTGCAATGCCCTCTTTGTCGATTATGTGGCCTAGAAATCTAACATTAGATAGCCAAAACTCGCACTTGCTGAATTTGGCATATAGCTGATGCAGCCGCAAAATCTGTAATGCTAATCAAAGATGCTACTCATGCTCTGCCTCTGATCTTGAATATATAAGGATGTCATTGATAAATATTATCATGAACTGGTCCAAATATGGACGAAAAACCAGGTTCATCAAGTCTATGAATACCGCGGGTGTATTGGTTAGCCCAAACGGCATGATAAGAAACTCGAAGGACCCATAATGAGTCAGAAAGACGGACTTGGTAATATCTATCTCCCGAACCCGCAACTGATGATAGCCAGAATGAAGATCAATCTTTAAGAAGTGCTACGCTCCCTATTGCTGGTCGAACAAGTCATCAATCCTCAGTAATGGATACCTATTCCGAATAGTGACCTTGTTCAACTCTCGATAATCTATACAAAGACGCGTACTGTCATCCTTCTTCTTCACGAAAATAACCGGCGCTCCCTATGGAGAATGACTCCGATGAATAAAACCCTGAGACAACAACTCGTCTAGCTGAGTCTGTAACTTCCTCATCTAAGCATGTGCCATACGATAGGGAGCTCGAGATATCGGTGTTGTGCCTAGCTACAACTCGATACAGAATTCAATCTCTCACATAGGAGGTAACCCCGGTATGTCCTGAAAGACATCCTAAAAATCTGACATGACTCTAGTCTCACATAACTCAGCACTCCGATCTCTCAGCATCACCTCCTCAATATATGCCAGAAATAACTTCGCAAACTAGTTTCCCTGTGAGGTCGTTACAATCAACTCAGACCCATCGGACGCTTGCAAAATGACTGCTTTTGCAAAACAGTCAATGCTAACATGGTAAGATGATAACCAATCCATACCAAGAATAACATTGAAATCTGACATCCACAAAACGATTAGATCTACAATAAACTCGGACTCATCTAAGCTGATAACACATCTCCTATATACGCTCCCTAATAGAGATACCTCCCCTAAAGGAGTAGAAATGGATAGCGGTACATCTAAGGGATGTGCGACTAATTGAAACCTATCCATAAAAGCGTGAGATATAAAAGAATGGGAAGCTCCGGAATCGAACAAGATCCAATCTAGAAAAGAGTTCACTAAGAAAGTACCTTCTACTATAGATCCGCTCGCACCTTGATCACATGGTATGACTGCATAGACTCTGCCTGTTGCTGATGACTGCTAAACTGTTGGCGGTGGAAATACGAGACTATTTATCCCTTAGGAATCTCTTGAATGGCACGAATCTGGCCTACCAACCTTTCAATTCACGAACCGGTTGGCGGTGTCTTAATCATCTGCTGTTGGCCGTAACAGCGACCCTGCGACTGCTGACCCTAATCACGGTTTTGCTGCTGATCGTGTCCTAGTCTCTACTGCTGGCATTGAAAATTCTTGCCTCGATGTGGAGTCTTCTAAGTCTTACAAAAGGTTTCTTATCCTTGCCCTTGTCTCCGGACAGTCCTGCTTTCATAATTAACTATCGGTATGTCTCTCTATTCTAACCGGGCTAGTTCTAGCTACTTATCGAAGTAGTAGGTGAAATCCTCCTATGAAATTAACATTCACTGCTTCGGCATAAACTGAAGTTGGTGCTATCCTCTAATGATATCCTCTATGCTGAATACATCTAACTTCTTCTTTGGTACTGAGTCAACGTTAAGAAATTTTTACATATTCCTTCTATTTATAAGCTACACATGAATCCGGTGTGCCCTGAAACTATAGTGCTCTCAGTGTTTGATATTTTTCTTATTTTTACAGAGCCAATCCTCCTACTCTATGGCACTATCAACAGTTGGTTATGGTGATGGTGAAATCGTCAGTATTACCTCTCTAATTGGTACGGCTGGTACAATTGGTGGTGAAACTTCAGAAAGTAAAATCTGGCTCGTTACTCGCTCCTTAAGTGTACTAGTCTCTGCTTCTGAAATTGGTATTACCAAATCGATCAGATACTATAAAGCCTGTTGCGGCTCGGGCTCACCTCTCTAGAAGAATTTCTAGACTCATTAAAATGAACAAGAAGTTTAATCCCCGATCTAACAACAAATTTTTTGAATGCAATGAACCGGGTCATATCGCCAAGGATTTCCCCAAACTCAAGGAGAAATACATGAAGTACAAGAAGAAGAAAGCCATGTATGCCGGATGAAAAGAATCCGAACCAAGTGATTCGGATAGCAATGAAGAAGGAGCTAAACTTGCTCTTCATGATCCTAACATTTGCTTCATGGCCTATGAAAAGGAGTTAGTTTCCGACACCGAAAGTGAATCCTTTTATATGCAATGTGATCTAGCTATGGCTATAGAATAATTGAATGTTAAGTTTAAAAGGATGTCAAAAGAATTTTCTTCCTTTAAAAAGTTTCATGCTTCTTGTGATGCCCAACTAGAACAACTACAAACCTCTCTTGCATTAAAAGATGAATTGTTAGGGGATCTTGATTTTGAAAACAAACAATTAAGATCTAAGATTGAAAGACTAGAAATTGAGAGTGGTAGGATTGTTGGCCTTCTTGTTTTGATGATGTTTAACAAACAATTTACCACTAATAGTGTTTGTCTAGTATTTGTGTTTTCTTATTTATTATAGACAAACAACGTGTTGGAGGATGGATGGAATAGAGCTTCAACGATCATATCCAATGGAGGTTGACGGAATAGTAGAGTGAAGCCTTGCAATTCAAAGTTAAAGATCAAGTTCAAGCTTCATCCGCGAGATTACCAAGTCGAGCTTATTACCAATCAAGCTTGGGTAAATTAGTTTAGGGCTTATATTATGTGTGTTAATACTTCAAGCTCAATATCACACACACACGTTTGGTTTGGTTTATCGTCGTTTTGGATTATAGACTTAACGATATTATTTTATATCTTTTATCAAGTTTATAAATCTATTGGAAAGTTTTCAAAACTTTGTTTAAACTCATTTTGTCAAGATCAAGCTTTTACAAGTCCATACTTATGTGATTTTGCAAAATAATAAGATTCCACAATTGGGAAATGCAAATTAGAAAATTCTTTTTTGTAACATGTTCAAAATCACATTTTCAAACATTTCCCAAAGTTTCATCAAGTTTGAAATTGATTTGTTACGTTTAATTGAATTTACAAAATCATGTTTTTGGTTCGTGCATGCTCGTGCATGTTTTTACAAAACAGATGAGTTTTCATAAATGGGAAGTGATATTTAATAAATTCTTTCTTTTAATATCTAAATGTTTAGAAACTTCCCTCAAAATTTTACCATTTTTGGAGTTGATTTACTATGCCCAATTGATTTTACAAAATCGTGTATGTCAGCAGATTTTTAGAAACTGTATATCTGTGTTCAAACATTTATTTCTCTCAAATGAGAAATGATTTTTCCGAAATTCTTTCTCTAACATGTTCTTCTACGTGTCTATAACCTTACATAAAAATTTCACAAGTTTTGGAATTGATTTACTATTTTTAATTGATTTTACAAAACCAGATACATAAATTTCCAGAATGCTGAATTTAGGGGTATTTTGGTCTTTTCAGCCTATAACGGCTAGTAACGGCTAGTTTTTGATATTTTCGATTTTTGGGAGTTTGTGGCTGATTTAAGAGGCTATAAAAAGCCCTCAACTTTCATTGTTTCTCATGGATGTTTAAGAGAGTTTTAAAAAGAGTTTTACAATTTATTATTTTGTTTATAATTTCTATATGCTAGATTTTAATTGAGTTTAGTTTTGATTTTGATTTCACTCATTGTTTACACACACCCACTTGAGCTTATTGTATTTGCATTCATAATATATTAGGGTTGTGAGAGTTGTAACATTGAGTGTGGGCTTTTATTGTGTTCTCATCCATATTAGAGAACAATTTATATTTGTTACATTGTGAGATTGTTAGGTTTTCGGTGAGCTAGAAACCGAGTGTGTTGTGAAGTTTTCGGTGAACTAGAAAACCGATTGTGAGGAGTGACGTTGATCGGTGAGCGTTGAAAACCGATACTGTGAGGTGTAAACGTTATTCGGGTGAACGTAGAAAACCCGGTTGTGATAGTGGATTTCTCCCCAGGAGTGGGGAGCGGAGACGTAGGACGGAAGGTCCGAACTCCGTGATCATATTGCTTGTTTGAGTTTGTCTTTGGCGTATTTGCTTTTGCATTTATCTTATGTCGCCATTGTCCATAGCTCATTATTTATATGATCCACTATCTAGTTCATATGGTTTACCCCTTGTGTTAGTTTACATATCCTTGTATATATCATATTGTATATCTCTTTGGTAGGATATATCACCTTGTATTAGTTTTATATCCTTGCACATACATTGTATATATCTCTTTGTTAGGATATATTTTGTTGTTCATATTGTTTATCCTAGCTTACATATCTTGTTGTATTTCATACTTGCTAGGATAACTTATGAATTAGTTTTAATTAGCATAAAATCGGATTAGATTAGCATAAGACTCTAATCACCCCCCCTCTAGGGTCTAACAAGGATTAGACCCACTCATGCTTATGCTAATCATCATCACCATGGTAGAAATAGATTTCACAGATCTTATGCTCCTACACACAAGAAAAATTTTATGTGCACATATTGCATGAAACGTGGTCATATTTCTACTCATTGTAGGATCAAAGATAATCATGATTTTTATGGCATGACATGGGTACCCAAAGGTACCAAGATTACTAACCACCAAGGACCCAAGATTTGGGTACCTAAAGTTACTACACCTTCATCTCTTGTAGGGAACATCACGGTAATGACGTAGAGAGATGTGGTACCTTGATAGTGGTTGCTCTCATCATATGACGGACAACAAAGAGCTATTTGCAACCCTATCAAGGATTAAAGGAGGTAGCGTCTCCTTTGGTGGTGGAGAGAAAGGTAAAATCATTGGTATTGGATGTATTGGTAAGACACCCTTTCCCGTTATAGAAGATGTTTATTTAGTTAATGGCTTGAATCATAATCTTCTTAGCATTAGCCAATTAAGTGATAAAGGTTTTGATGTTTCTTTTAAACCGGACAAATGCATTATTAATATGAATGGAAAAATTGTTTTTGTTGCTAATCGAAAATCTAATGTGTACATTTTTTAGATGAATGAATTAGATGTGAAGTGCCTTGCGGCAATTGATGAAAATCCTTAGATTTGGCATAAAAGGCTTGGACATACAAACATGGAATTGATATCCAAATTATCCAAGAGGAATCTTGTTAAAGGGTTACCAAACTTACATTTCATCAAAGATACCATATGCGAAGATTGTGCTAAAGGTAAACAAACTAAGTCTACCTTCAAATCCATCAATGAGGTATCAGCTTCTAAACCTTTGCAATTACTTCATCTTGATTTATTTGGTCCTATGCGTGTTACCTCTCTTGGAGGCAAACACTATGTTTTTATTATCATTGATGATTTTTCTCGTTTTACATGGACAATATTTCTTGCTAGTAAAGATGAATGTTTTGATGAGTTTTCAAATCATGTTAAGAGAATTAAAAATGAAAAAGATTTGAATGTTGTTAAAATAAGAAGTGATTATGGTGGTGAATTTCAAAATATCTTTTTTTATGATTTTTGTACGCATCGTGGTATAACTCATGTGTTTTCCGCTCCAAGAACACCACAACAAAATGGTGTTGTGGAACGGAAAAATCGAACCATACAAGAGATGGCATGAACTATGTTAAACTCCTTTGATTTGCCTAAATATTTTTGGGCGGAAGCCGTCAATATGGCTTTTCCTGTTTTTAATTGTGTTTTGATTAGACCAAAGCTTAAGAAAACTCCTTATGAACTATTTTATAGAAAAACTCTATTTATTGGTTATTTTCGTATCTTTGGTTGCAAATGTTTTATTTTAAATATAAAAGATCACCATGATAAATTTGATTCCAAAATTAATGTTGGCATTTTCTTAGGGTATGCACATCGAAGTAAGGCTTATAGGGTCTTCAACAAACGAACTCTTGTATGTTGGCATTTTCTTAGGGTATGCACATCGAAGTAAGGCTTATAGGGTCTTCAACAAACGAACTCTTGTTGTTGAAGAATCTATAAACGTTACTTTTGATGAGACTAATATTGGTTCACAAGTTATTTTGTCTAGGAAAGATGATGATGATGTTGAGGGAGGATTGGAACATTTACAACTTAATAATACACCCTCAATAGAAGCACAAAAAGATGTGGAAAGCACCAACACTCATGTACAAGAAGAACTCCCCAAAGCATAGAAATTCGTATCAAATCATCCAAAGGAGCAAATTATTGGGAGTCATTCACAAGGGGTTGTTACTCGCTCAAAGGCTTTGAGTGAGTGTGGTAATGTTGCTTTTCTATCTCAATTAGAACCTAAGAAGGTTAATGACGCTTTAAATAATGAATTTTGGGTTTTAGCTATGCATGATGAACTAAACAATTTTTGAAGAAATGATGTTTGGAAATTAGTTCCTAGACCTAACAATGCTATTGTAATTGGAACAAAATGGGTTTTTAGAAACAAACTTGATGAACATGGCATTGTTACTAGAAATAAAGCTCGTTTGGTTGCCCAAGGATACAATCAAGAGGAGGGCATAGACTATGATGAAACCTTTGTACCGGTTACAAGGTTAGAATCTATTAGGATGTTTTGGCTTTTGCTAGCTTTAAAGATTTTAAATTGTTTTAAATAGATGTTAAAAGTGCCTTTTTAAATGGTTTTATAGAAGAGGAAGTATATGTTGAGCAACCCCCCGGTTTTATAGATCATGTTTTTCCTAATCATGTTTACCGGGTTTAAAAAGCTTTATATGGGTTGAAACAAGCTCCTAGAGCTTGGTATGCTCGCCTCTCTAGTTTTCTTCTTGGAAATGGTTTCTCTAAAGAAAAAATTGATAATACTTTTTTTGTGAGAAAAAAGAAAAATGATTTTATTTTAGTGCAAATATATGTTGATGATATCATTTTCGGTGCTACTAATGAATCTCTTTGCGAGGATTTTTTAAGGTTATGC